TTCATACGGTGCAGAGAAGGCAAGTCTGACGATTCTCTTTGATCAAGTGTGACTCACTGTTCATAGCCAGAGAAAAATAAGCTAAAGAACTGTGATGAATAGGGTAAGCATTACACACACATACTCTCATACATAAACAGTTAAGTTTAATAAGCAAATAATCGACAAGGTCAAAATGTAATTCAAGAAGAATAAATAAATTGATCTCTCCGAAAGCTAGAATAACCCATGTTAGCTTGAAATAGTACTAGACATTACAAACCTTTGACAAAACCCGAGTATTGGCATATAATTCCCATTTAAGCATTAAAATTAAAACACGAAGTCCAGCGAAGGGATCTCTTTTCAACGAATCAAGCTGTACAATCGTATATATATATGAAAATGTGTATATATGAAAATATGTAAAAGAAGCTTGACTGATGTCTTCTCTTATTCAGGCTCAAGGCTGGGAATCAAAGGACCAATAGAAGTCAAGCGTACATTACATTGGTCGGGACATATCACTAGTCAAGGCTTAGGACCCTAGACACATACGGAAAAGCATAAGCGGGGTGATAAAATTATAATCGGGATTTCGATTAGTGAATCTAGGATGTGATATTTATCACCATCTCAAGTATAACATATACTATTCTAGTGATTTAATAAGATTTGATTTAGTGACTCTTGGATTTGTGCACAAGATTTAAACTCAGTGGGGGATAGCTTATATCGTATTAGGAGCTAAGTAGAAATTACCTAAATCTTGTTCCTAATACGATTAAAACTGATAGACACTTCTGGAGCTCAATCATACATGCAATGTAACATAGCATGTTAGTTAGAATGAAGATTCGTAACTCGAAACTTATTGACTCGTTAAGCTTATCCAATATGATTCAAAGAGTAGCCAGAGTTGTTTGAGTGGCCAAAAAGTATTCTTCACCCTAACTTCAACGCTTAACTCTAAATCCTAGACCTTCTAGGGTTACTATTTCTTGACCCTAAATTTTTCTCATTTATGATGATAAGTAGCTGAACATTTATTGTGTATGAACCGATTTGTAACTAGGGTATTTTTTGTGAGCGGCTGATCAGTAGCCCAAGGTCGTCAGTATAGTATGCTTTTATTCTTAATTTCTATCGTATTTAACCCACCCTGTGATTGGTTACCTTCCACTTCTTGAAAATGACCTAGACCTCATGAAATTTATTCCAAGATAGAATATCCATTATTCTCTGATTTTACATAACTCTTGCCCTACTTACTCATTTCGCCTTTAGTTGTCATCGTTGCAATGTCTGGATAACTTTAGATTCGGAGAATTTTCTTGTAGGAAACGTCGATATTGAAAGCTTTTAAATTATGACCTATTATACACCTATTTTTTAGTATCGTAATTGTAATATTTGGATTCATTAGAATAAATGTCGAATTAATGTATTCATGTTCTAAAAATCGGTGCGTCAATTAAGTTTTCTTCAATATCATCAACTGTATATAACCCAGATCTTGTTTAAATTAACTTTTGATTTCCAATAACGTATTTCTTATTAAAGAAATTGGTTTAGGTATTTAATATACTGAATAGGTTGTTGGTAAGTAGTTTAGTGTGTATCAGCTGAACTTTTAAAAGTAGATATTTACATCTGTTTTCCTAGTCGTTTATATTAATTCATGTTCAAAACAGTTCATAAACGTTTTAAGTTTCTATGGTGTAATGAGGCGTAAGTGATTGAAAAAATTCGATACATCCGCTCTATATATATTAAACATTCTGATCACACATATCAAGGCGTTTGTTTATGAAAACTAATAAAGGTCAATTAAATAAAAGTTTAATTAATATTAAGTGACTATTGGACATATAAGATAGTGATGACATGATATGGTAAGAATGAGAGGTTATCGCACTATTCAGGACAATAAAATCGATTAAAGATTACCAGGTCAGATTAAAGGTAAGAAATACAAAGAAGGTTTGAATTTTCTCATAGCCATAGCTTCCCAATCTTACAAATTTGTTCTTGACATTTTTTATACAAGGCTTTAAAAAAATTATAGTAAGGTCAATCCTTCGGGCTATTTTCATTGCGTCTCACTACCGAGGAGCATGATTTTCCATAACATATGTTTATCGAGGCATGAATCAAATGTCTCCAATCAAATTTCATTAGTTTTGATTTATAAATGCTTTGAAAAGTATAAATGTAATCAAGTTATTCGAAATTCTTAAAGCAAATATGTTATTTTCTCAAATCAATACCGTCTTTTAACTGAGCTATTTTGAAATTAAAATTTTACATAGCTTTTATATCATAGTAACTAAAGTATCAACACTTCGCAAAGTAGCACGGTGATTATCATTTGCTTCCGACAAGACTATGCTATCATGATAAAATAATCATTGTTCAATTTTTAACTCTACTCTTTATTTTTGTGGATTTTCGTGGAGATACAAAGTTAATTAGTTAACTGATGATAAATTACATATATTAGTAATAATTCAACGATGCTAGTGATTTTTTCGAATTCATATACTGCATAATATAGAAACTTTTACATTCTCACAATATATTAGATTGTTATTTCACTGACTGGACTATTAAAATACTAATTACTTTAAATGAAGACTAACACTATTGCTTATTACATACTTCTGACGAGAATTTAATAAGCTAGTTACTAATTTTTCGTGTTTCATTCTGGTTGGGATCTTAAAAAATTCGATGTCACAAATTGTATGTAATTAGAAATGTAAACCATGGAATGCTAACTCAGAAGTCGATAGGTTAGGCCTTCGCTGCAAGAATTGAATATTCTAGATTCGATACCTAGTAGGACAGTGAATTTACACTGTTGAGAGGTATCACACTGGGATGAAATAGTTGTACAATGCTTCCTTACTTTTAATGACTGTCTAGTTAAAATTATTTCATAATGTAGACTAAAAATATGAAATCTATTCATTTTTGTTCAAGAGACTTCAGCGCATAGTGAATCCAATTAGAAAAGGCTCAACAGTCTACTGCTTAGTGTTTTGAAATACACTTTTTAACATTCATTCAAATAAAAGAAATTGGATAATATTCTTTGGAATTTTCGAAAGAGTTTCCGTATTGATTAGTTACTAACTGACAATTTGTTAATAAAACTTATGTTAGTTGGAATTCGAGGTATGTGTAGGAATTGTGAATATAGTATTTGACCTTGCATCATCCATATAAATAATAGATATCGTACGATTTACCACATCTGTCCGATTGTATAGAAACAGATTCTTTCAATTATCACAAACATCCTAGAATGATACAAATGGAAATTCAAACACTTAATATTTCTCTATCAACTTTCATGCTAAATGAATATTGTAATTAGTAAATCAGAATACATACGAACCAGCTTATATGTATATTAGACTAAGTTGATGCACTTCAAACCAACACATTAGCAGAAATTAACAAAATAAAGTGTAAATAGTATTGTAGTGATCGGCCGGTCTCGATAAGAACACGATTGGAATAACAGAAACAATTATTATTATTGTAACCAATTGTACCAGAGATTGTTTTACTGTACTTGTTTAACTGTATCAGACTCACTTCTTGTTCCGCTATCCGCCATGTTCGGTTCGAACTTTCTTACGCTCTGCCCATTTTGCTTGTACCCGTTGGCACGTCTCGGTATTCTATCGATACCACGAGATCGCCAATAAATATACTTTATCTGGACTAATTAAAGCCTTCTGATTTGCAAGTTATCAAAGGAATCAAGTCGTTGCTGGGCGTGTAATCGAATTGTAGTGTTGATCATAGTCCGTCCTCGACTCGACCCTACTACAGTATTAACAGAAAGTATCAATGAAAGTCATAAAAAGCTAATCTTATATTATGTAATTCTAAAGTAACTAATTTATTAACAGACCAATATAATATTGTAGAAGATTTGAGTCATGAATACATCAACGCTACAACAACAACAACAACAACTACTACTACTACTACTAACTTTGGTGTTATGTTACTTATCAATGAAAACTTGATGATGGTAACTTCTATCATTGACCAAATAACAACTTATATAAAGTCGCTAATTTAAAAACCGACCAATGGAACAAGGTTTTTCTAAAAGATTGTTATGATTACAGCTCTATGACTACTGGATTACAATCAACAAGAGTATTCAGTGTCTTTAATCCTCGGTTTAATGAATTTACTACCAGCCCATGTAATCTCTAATATTATAAATCAGTTCTGATTACTCAACAAAAGTCATATACAAAACCTTAGTAGGTCTGAATAAACTAATCGAAACAGGACATAGAAACTTGTACTGTAGTTTGTGATTTGTCACTATAAAATAAAAGATATTCTTGTTGGGTTAGCTTTTAATTGTTCTTCATAACTCTTTAAGTGAGACGCAAGAGGTAGCGGTACTTATTAATCTGAGACGCTATCGGGAAGTGTTTAGAATTTAAGTCACTAATGCTCCTACTGTAGCTTTGTATAGTATTATTTCTTAATCAGTGCGGTGCCTAGTATTGTAAAACTGTCTTGCTCGTGTTGTTTGTTAAAGCTATTTTCTTTATTGTAGACTTTTCTTATTTTTCTTTCTAAAACTCATCTTTTGACAGTGTGACTTTCTAATTTTTACTTCTTCATGATACAATCACTTTGGTTTGAAGAATAAATGCTCTAGTCTCAAAACGTCCCAAGTATTTTTTTTGTGTAATACTAAACAGTAACATTTGTGAGATACTTTTCTACAAATATATTTTAAAGTTTATGACACTTCTTTCGTAATAACAGTGCCTGTTTAAGCAGTGTAAATTTTGTAAAATCCTATTAAAAGTTCAGATACTAGAATGCATTACCTAATTTTTTTTCTATGTACTTTTGCTAAAACAAACTACAAGCTTGTTGTTCAACGCTTCAAACAACGTGACTTTAAAAGTACACATTTAATCATTTTGTGTTATTTATACATGTTATAACTTGTTTCTAATAAATAGTAAATTCACGGTAGTTTACATTTTTATGTATTTGTATAAATGAATGTAATAAATGCATCGTAACTGATCTCTTTGAAGTGAAAAATAGGTTATATGGGTGATTCATGAAATATGTACATATATAATATCTCAGTGACAAGTATTTATTTGGATAAGATTTACAAGATGTCTGAGAAAATATAGTTTAATTGTTTGATTTCTAATTCCAAATACGATACGTTCGTTCGTGCTCATCTAGTACTTCATGGTCAAATTGCGTTTTTTTGGGATTACTAGTATGTACTATAAATCAAATACTTCAGATCATTACAATGAAGTCGCGATGGAGCCTGTGATGGAACGGTTGGACATACATTCAGATTTTGATGCTTTTGAGGATTACATGAAATGGTTCGAAATCTGGACTGTAACCAAGGAAGATGTTGAGGATGCTAATGTTGTGGCTCATTTTCCTGCATTTATAGGAAAAGAAGCATACAGCTTAATAAATACATTAACATTTTCAGGAAAGCCTATTTCACTTCCTTATGCAGCTCTCAAGAAACTACTGCTAGACTATGTAAAGTATACAAGTTTTGAACGCGTTAAAGGAGGAAAATTCCATAAAATGATTCATCAGGGCATCAAAAATTCCACTACGTTACTACGTCATCCCAATACAATGCGTACTCAAGGTTATGCAGATAATTCATTGAGGAGTTGCGATGATGGTCGCGAAAATGGGCACAAGTTTGGTCAATTTTTGTCCCGCGGCAAGTTTCACCAATTTTAATCCATGTGTATTTCGTAATTCTAAATGCTTTAAATGTGGTAAAATCGGACACATTCTTTCAGTTTGTAACACTATTACTTATTTCTCTGCTACTAATACTAAATTTTTATAACTCCGATCGTATTCAGTTGATTGTTAATAATGATCAATTATATTTATCCATGACCTCGAAAAAGCAGTATAGTACCATATAGCAGTCCGGAACCAGATGAAAGTTAGAATCAATGTGAGACAAAAGCTTCTAGTTAATCAACTTCTTATTGGATTTCTCATGTCATTGTACCAGATATGCTTTGTTCTAATGATTCACATATTTTTGGCAAAGTTTCTTACAAATTTAAGGAAAATATGTGTAGTGACCTACTTTTATGACGAGAACGCGATTGGTATGATGAAAACAATTATTGTTATAACCAATTGTACCAGTGACTGCTCTGCTGTACTTGTTTGTTTAAGTGTACCAAAAAACACTTTCTTTCATTGCCTGTGACCTTGCGCGAACTCGCTTACGCTCGACGGTTCCGCTTGTAAACTTCGGCATGTCTCAGTATTCTTTCGATACCACGAGATCGCCAACAAATTTATCTTATTGCAACCGTCAACGCCCTCCTGGTTTTCGGCCTACGGAGGTATCCAACTCGATACCTGGCACTTAATCTTCTTCTAGTGGTGATCATAGTTACTCGCGACTTGACGCCAACTACAAATGAATGAAATCGTGACCGAAATTCTGATGCATTTTTGACAGATGTTGATTTTTCTAGTGATCCATTATTTTATAATTACATTCTTCATAAAATTGAGGGAAATATTTTAGAAGGGGATTTGTGGAGATTTCAGTAGTTTTCAAAGTTGAAATCATGAGTCAATGGAAGCTAGACCACCATCGAAAACCTGGAAACACTGGACGGCCGTTTCGTCCTACTATGGGACTCCTCAGCAGTGTGCATCCACGAACCCACTCTCGCGGGATTCGAACCCAGGACCTATCAGTTTCGAGCCGAAGCCCTTAACCGACAGACCACTGAGCTGGCATCCAACGGTGTTAATGTCTAACTTCAACTGATCCACGAAGTTGAGCAACCATTCACCAATTGTCTTCAGTGAGTTCCTATCTCACAACGGACGTGGTTGAACTCCACTGGTCACTGCTTCCCACTAGAACTCCAGGACATGTATCTTGACTTGGAGTTCTAGTGGGAAGCAGTGACCAGTGGAGTTCAACCACGTCCGTTGTGAGATAGGAACTCACTGAAGACAATTGGTTAAGGGCTCTGGCTCGTAACTGGTAGGTCCTGGGTTCGAATCCCGCGAGAGTGGGTTCGTGGATGCGCACTGCTGAGGAGTCCCATAGTAGGACGAAACGGCCGTCTAGTGTTTCCAGGTTTTCGATGGTGGTCTAGCTTCAATTGACTCATGATTTCAACTTTGAAAAATATTTTAGAAGAATGAAATCCTAACGTCATGTCAATTATCATTTTTGTTCATAATTCATTTGCCTCTTGTGGGAAACTTGTTCAATGTGAATGCATGAGTCCTAAATGAGCTGGGTTGGGATAACAATTCGAATGATTTCGTACTAACAGTTGTTTTTCCTTATGATGAATTCACTTCTGATGAATACTTTACTCAATATAAGAAATGTGTTTTAAATGAAGCCACATCATTCATAAGTTGGGGATATAAAGACCCAACATTATTTCTTGGGGTAAGATAGTGTTGGAAAGTCTGTGGTTCAAATTATAGATATCACTGGTTTCAATACACAACCGGCATAATGACTGTATACAAGTCCATGACCCAGGTGAGTCCCTTCCAACTTTTAAATTCCAATACTGATGGATATATTTAAGATCATTCAGAGTCTATATCCAATACACAGTCGGACAGACACGATGAACCTAAGGAGAAGAGGTACAATTGAAATGGATTCTCATTTAAGCTTTGGCTGATGTGACGTTTGTATGAAATAATGATTCTTTGGTACTTGATGACTGTCTGATTTTGAATTCCAAATACAATACATTCGTTTGTGATAATCTAGCACTGCATGGTCAAATTGCGTTTCTTCAGGCATTAATAGTATGTACTACAAATCAAATACATCACATCATCACATTCACGTCACAAACTGATAACAGCTTTATAACTCCATGTTTATTTGATACGTACTAACAGTTTCTGAGTGCTTCCACTTTCCCATCCAAGTAGTTTCTCGTTGCATTAGGTTTTAGTTGGTCATGGTCCAAGGTATTTCTAAGGCTAAATGTGTGCGACATCACCAATAGTTGTGGAGATCAAAATAAATCTCAAGAAACATGGTTACTTAGTGGTCAAAAAAACAGAATACGAAGCATATACCAGAAGAAAACGAATAAAACACGATTCTGGGGCTGTGACGTGTAAGTGTGAAATTATAGAGGGTATTCAGGGGTCAAACATTTATAGTTTGTGACATGACCACTAGATTGTCATTGGTTATTTATTCATAAGGTTATATGTCATTTGGTCCATTGTTAGATATAGCTTGGCTTAGGTAAGCTTAATCGAGCATGTGGAATCGGTTTACAAAGCAGCTTTGGGGAGATTAAAATTGAGTAGGCATCTGACGTAACCGGATGTTTACTGATAACCTATTTCAGAGGCTTGCATAACGTGTGACAATGAAAGTTGGCTCTTATTTACTCTGTTCCCAAAATCTTTATTACAAAATCCTGACTCCGAAGGTTGTAATTGCTATTTTTGACAAATTTCAAAGTAGCGTAATTTAGCGTAGTTTTATTATATAGAGTCTTTTAAGGTAAGATAAGGTTGGGTTTGATTCGTCTTAACAATGAGGGATCCAGTTTTCATGCTGCATATCTATTTTAATACGACAGGTCTGGCGTAATATGCCTTATAAAACGGCGTTGTACTTTCTCAATTTTCTGTTGCTCTGGAAAATAATTATGAATAACCTTCTTAATCTTCCTCAAAGTTCTAGACAAGATGGAAATGTGATTAATTATATGATAGTTGTTTACGTCCAGTTAAGATCGTTTTTTAAATTGAGGGATAATGTATATAGTCTTCTAACGTCAAGAGGAAGTGACCAGATCAAAGGACAGATTGAATATTCCAGTAAGTAATTTGACAGGTATTCCATCACAACCACTTCCAAGAGAAGGTTGTAATGATCTTATTACATCTCTCACAAAACTCGGCGTGAATTCTTGTTTTGCTTATATATATGCGCTAAAACTGCTGACTATATGTTCATTCTGATTACATCTCGTTAATGCATGCACAAATTGTTGCTAAGATCTCACATAATTTTGTTGGGTGCCTTAAAAGGCATCATCGATCTTTAGGACAGTAAGAATACTAGACTGAATACAAAGTTTCTCCTCTAGAATAGCTGTTATAAAGTGTTCTTATTTTGCGAATTGGAATTCCGTTGTTCATCATCTAATTCCATTGTTTATCGAAAGCTTTTCATACTGACTAGAAGTTAAGAATGTCAGAACAGTCTTATTAAACAAAGTACCTTTTTCTCAGATTCCATAGTTTAGATCTGAATTTAATGGGAATATTATCACATTGAGAAGCATGTGCATTTTTTTCACAATCAGAGCGATTAAATCGAGACAAGTCCTGAGATTTAAGTAAAGATAATCTAGTGTAGTATTAACTTCACTGGAAAAAAGGACTTATCTTGATTAAAACCACGTAGTAGGATCTCGGAGTAAAACAGGTCGGTGTTTGCAACGTTTATGATAGGACCTGTAGTAACATTTGTTCTATTTGGAGTACAAGAGCGCTTTTGTGCAATGAGTTGATAGACTACAGCTTCAGTAATAATAATAATTTGTTCTCAAATAACAGTTCGTTACATGAGGCATGCCAGTTCACAGAAAAGATCAAATCGTTACAGAAGCTGCAATTTTCACTGTAGTAAATTACTCAGCCGGGTTGATATTTTATAAGATATGAATGTAGGTGGTTTTAGTAAGAAATGTAATGCCGATATCACAATTGACGCGCTTTATGAAGGTGGCGTTGCGACATGCAACTGATGGTCGAGAATAGATCCATGTTAAGCTAGGGGCTTCTAAAAACTCCAACCTCATATCACTTTGGAATATCTGAGGCTTTAATAATGGCGCAGGACGAAGTTGCTCGTTCCATATCTGTTTTCGGTGGTGTATCTCAAGCGGGTTGTAAAAGTGTGTAAGAAAAAGGAAGGACGAGAAGCATAGCAATGTTCATGAGGAATAGTTAAGGTATGACTACTTGGTCTATTTCTCTGTTATTAAGGTACTTATTAAGCAAAAGCATTCCAATATGTTAAGGAAAATAAGTGTAAACAAGGTATGAGTGGATAAGGAACCATATGAAGTAAGGTTGTTCAGAAAGAAGCTGAAAGTATGGGATTATGTGTAGTTATAAAATATAGTGCTGAAAACAGTATTCTGATACACAAATGGCTGTCTCCCTTTTTTGTCGAAGCTGTTTGAACCCTTTTTGTTTTTAGAATTTATAGGGCATTGAGCCAACTTAGTTTTTAGCAGATTGTCTAGATTGCTTGTAATAGGATTACTCGTTAGGAAGTAAAACCACTTCAGCGTTTTGAGAGCGATTTGAAACGGTATTTCACATGAATAAATCAGCATCAATACCTTTGGTTTGTGACATCCCACTTGACATAAGGAGACGTAATTTAACATAATGTTCTACCGAACAGACATGGGTGGATTGAAGTCATCTCCCTACCATCATGTTTGCTGGTCGGTAGCGCCACCCTTCCTCCTTTTGTGATGTTAGGCTCTCTTATGTTTGTGGTATGAATGTTGCTTTAATCCAAGCCGATAGTTGGAATACACAGTCTCTACTAGTTCCATGTTACAAGCAAATCAGATGGCTAAAGTATTTGTATTATAGGTTGAACATCCACTAGGTATATCATACTGCTATGAAGATAAGTAATGGTATAAGCTATACGAGACAGGCCACATTATATGTGGTTAAGACATGGTAAGAACTAATAGCAAGT